CAAGCCCTGGTACATGAGGTTAGAACAGACTCCAGTTTTGTTTTAATTTTTATGGTTGAAATGTGTTCTTGTTACAATAATGGGCCAGATCCCAGCTGGCATAAATTGGCTGAAGCTCAGTCCCACTCAAAGGAGCCAGGTCCCCTGCCATGTAAACCAGCAGAGCTCTGCTCATGCCATAGATAACTGCTGCTAAGGATGCAGGTTGCATGTCTAACAAAGCCGTATCTGGGGCTTTCTCCTTCTAATGAATCTCCCTGTTCAGTACTGTAACCACCAACAGGTGAGGCGGGAACCTGCTCTGTGCCATGTGGAGGCTGGATCCTACATAATAAATAGACATGCAGACTTGTCTACACCAGCGGGGGCCAAAGTTTTTGGCAGGCATGCCACAAAGTAGCCCCACACCCTGCCAAGTGCCGCTCTGATTCCTTTCCCCTGCCTTATCTGCCTCTCAGCTTTCTGCTCCCTGCCCTGTCTGCTGCTGTGCTTCCTGTGCCTTCCCCAATCAGCTTTGTGCCAGCCAGTCAGGCCACCCAAGCTGTAACTTGGCCACCTCTAGGCCACACCATGGCAGCACATCCCAGTACTGAGGGGCCGCAGCATGCCCCACCTACCTAGGTCCTCAAGATGCTTCATCCCCAGAGGTTTGCAGTAAGACTACTTCTGGCACATCCCCAGCCCTTTTTTCTGATGCTACTGTAGCTCCAGGGCTTGAGAACAGGTCCCAAGTGATGAGCCAAAACAGATTCACTGTGGTACTCAAAATCAAGTGGATTATACGTGTGCGAGGCACGGTTGTCCCCCTACCCCATATGCCAGGAGATATCAATACTGAGGTACAGACAAGCTCTTCAGCACCCTAGAATGGGATCCCAAGCACTCAGTGATGTGTCATTACACTCAGTGAAATGAGGGCCAGAAGATCCAGAGGGGGTACAGGGCACATCCCTTCCACCCCCACTACCCCTCTCTCCCACCCACCGCTGCTGAAGGCTGAAGCAGAGCTGTCTGCTGCACTGCCTGGGACACTGGCACTCTCACTTCCTCCTTCCCCCCACCACCCCTCCTTTGAAGAAGAGCTAGAATCTTGAAGCCAGAGGTTTCTCCTCCAGAAGCCAGGTCATGGTTGGGTGATGGGGGTCCTTCAGGAAGGAGACCAGACAAGCCTTTTTAGGGGAAGGCTGAAGGCAGAGCTTCCCTCGAAAGAGCAAGATCCAAGACACACTGCTAAGAATACCCAGCCTCCTCTCTACCCACATGGGAGTTCAATGAAGTCAGGATCCCAGAGCAGCTTAGACAGGAGATAGGTGCAGAGATGCTCCATGCTGTGAAGACTGAGGCTCTTTGGCACAGGCCCTGCAACAGGCTTTTAGGCACTTGAGGAGCTTTAAGGTCAAACCTGAGGTATTGATGGGTTTTAAGCAGCTCTGGGATTAGGGGGCATCTGAGTAGGCATTTCCAGGATGACAGCTTTGGACAGAGGCACCTCAGTGCTTTGTTCCCACAACAAGTGCCTCGGTCCTCCTTTAGACTAACTGCTTCTGTAGGTCAGAGGTTCCCAACTGCAGGGCTGTGGCCCAATACCAGTCCATGGCAGGCTGGCTGGTGGGTCATGGCATGAGCCCCTGGCTCAGACCGCCATCTGTCTGCCCAGGTGAGTGGCTTCTGGGGTTAAAGCTGTGTGACAGGGCAGTCCTGGCAGGGAGGCAGACGGCTCCGTGTACCCCATCCCATTCCCACCGGGCCACAGTATAAAAGAGATTGGGAACCATTGCTGTAGGTGACCAACTGTCCCATCATACTCTATAACTTGTTGGGGGGCCTAACTCCTTCCTGCACATGCAACTTGGTGCCAGGGCTCCCAAGTTATCCTGTGACTGCAGCCCTCAGCTTCCCCTGCTGCCTTCCTACTTTGCAGACACATTATAGACACCTTGCAGATGCCAGAAGGAGCAGCACCAACAATGAAGGTTGAGCACCTCCATCCCAGACTATCCCATAGCAGCTGGCATACATGCAGGCATGGGCCTGGGAGGCTGAAAATCCTTTCAGAGGAAAGAGCTAATCCCGATTTCCCACCTCCTTCCTGGGTGACTGTTGTAGTCCCTTGGATCCTGGATCAAAGGGCAACCCCACCTCTGGCCTCAGCATCATTAATCTGGCCCTGAATTTATTACCTTCCCTCATCCTTGAACGTTCAGGTATCTTGACCAAAGCCTATGACAACCTTCAAGACACCTGGAACCACATTTATCTGTGAAGAAATGGGCCACCAATTTAAACTCCCCCATCTCCAAACAAATTTGTATGAGGAATCTGCCTGCTGCATCAGAACCTGGAGTCAGTGGCCAAAGGGGTCCCGTCCAGCCCTGCGTCCTCGCTTTTCTTTGTTCTACCCATTCATTTGGGGCATTGGGCCATCAACTGCAGAGCTGAACTGAAGACGTACTTTTCAGTACGTGCAGCCCACATCTCATGTGAAATGAGGGATTCCCCTGGAGACAACAGCTTGGATTCCAATTAAGCAGAGTGTTTACAAATTTTGCATTACAAACATTACACTAATCCCCTGGTTTTTCATTTAAAGACCAGCAGCAGCAAAGCAAAGACTGTTGGAAATCCTGCCAACCGAGCCCCTGGTGCCTTGTTCATGGGAATCATGAGAGCAGATACACAATCAGTTTCCAGGGAATGACACAGTGAAATTCAAGGTAAAACCAACATTTCCATTTCAGGTAATTTTTCATAGTGTAGGAGATCTATGTTAACAAAGTCCTGGATATTGTTTTCTTACACCTTCCTGTCTCAATGCAGGATTTTTTTTCTGTTTCCCTGGATACACTGAATTAGGGAAAAGGAGATCTTCTAAAATTCTGATCAGGGGGAAAAAAGAGGCCTCTCTCTCTCTTCTCTCTGGTTGTCTCTCAAACTGGTTTAAATTAGTCTGGTAATTGCTATGTTTCTATATTAGCTGCCTAAAAAAATAATTAATGGAAAAACCAAAATATTTATATTTTCACTTACCAAATATCAAAAGAGCAATTTTTTATTCAACATTTTGGCAGCCATTTTTATCTACTTTTTGAGGGTTTTCTTTCTCCCCTTTCACATTTTGCCACTGCAGAAAGCATTGACAGAATCTGAGGAAGGAGAAGAGAGAGGACAAAACACAAATCAAACATGGAAATTATTGATTAGCTGTCAAAACAGAAATTTTCCAAAAAACATGAAAATTAGGTTATTTTTTTCAGAAAGCTCACTTTACCAAGCTCTTTAATATTAAGACATATGAAGCATTTATTTTTTCTGTTATTTTCTCTGTTGCTTTTTAATATCTTAGTCAAGCATCTGCCCAAACTAGAAAAAAACAGAGTAAAACACTTATCAGAGTAAAAAACTTATCAGCAGAGTTAGTCAGAAAAGGTAATCCTATGGTTCCTTCTAGAAACGGACTATCCAAAAATTCTCCAAATGTTTAAAATGTAAAGGGTTATCAGCTTCTTACACTAATTTCCAAAATGACTAGCTACCACTCAGTGGAGCTGCATCCTCTGCAAGAGAGAATCCTTCTTAGCCTGGCCCATTGTTTTCGAACACTATTTACCTTCAAAGACTTGCAATATGTACCTTTGCAAATACTGCCTCAGATAACTTCGTTTTGTTACAATGCTCAACACCAAATGTCTCAGCTTTACAATCTATTGAAACCTATCAGTTTCTGTTGGGTTCAACTGTAACTGGCAAAACTCAGAAACAACCAAAAAACTCAGTAATAAAAAAGGAAATAGTTCTGGAACTATCTGTGCACCGAGACATAGATCAATATATTGCTTGTCAAAACAGTTTCAAAGAATATACTTAGAAGAAGCAGTGTCTTTACACAGGTTATGAACTTAACTAATCAAGTCCGTAAATCCATAGCAACAACGCACTTCTCTCCAGTCCTTGTTGTGCTGCTACATGCACTGGTTTGAACCCAATGTAATTCCATTCATTCCAGTGGAGTCTTGTTTCCTGGTTCCCACCCAAGGAATCCAGAGAAGAATCAGCCTCCTTAACTGTAAAGTAGCAAATAATGACTTTTATAAAGCTAAGTGAGAGATGCTTGAGACCGATTGACTCCAGTTACAGTGCACCTGAATAAACCAGGGCTCCATTGGCATCCCCCAACCCCAATGCTTAAGACAACTGGTAAGACAGCCTTGTGGGGGTTATGTGGATGTAAAGCACAGGAAAGGAAGGGACTCCTGGACAATCAAGGCAGAATCCTGCAAATGCAAGGAGTCCCTCAAGACCTGCACCTGTAGCTATCAGGTAAAACACCAGTTACAGCCTGTAACATGCCAGAGGCAAAAGCAGAGGAGGGGAGGGCAGTGCCAACGCCCTGACACTGCAACAGAGAAGTAGTATCTAATGTAGGCTCAGCAGATCCTAAGGAAAAGACCATGCCCTGTGCTGCAAAGAAAGGTAGTTTCCCATCAATTATGATGTTCTATGGAAATCAAAGCATTTCACAACGCCGTTTCTACATCATTTTTTAATGGGGAAAATTTAGAACTTTTCTTGAATTGAGGGTGTTGCCACCTCTCAATCCTTGGGAAATTTTTGCTTTCTTAATGTTATTCTGATTATTTCCATTTGGACTTCTACAATATATTCATGGGATTCACTATATATTGTTTTGACAATACATTACATTTACTATTTCTATGACACAGGAATACAAAAGCCCACAATTTAAATGACTTCATAGAGCCAACTCTTTAGGACAGCACAGAAACACGTTTCAAGAGACTTTTCATTTCACATGAAATCTTGAAAAATTGACTTTCCATTCTAATGAAGGGAGAAAGACCTGAAAATATAGGAAGTTTAGAGCGCTCACGTGCTGTAGAGATTCAGTGATACTGCAGCTGAATGCTGGCATAGTGCACAGGCATGAGTACTACCCTGCTTCTTAATATTTGTGCTATGATGACTTATTTTAGGTCCACCACATGGCAAACACAGAATGGAGAAATCAAACCATCACCACAGAATTCATCCTCCTTGGATTTGGCAATTTACCGAAAGAGAACATTCCACTCTTCCTGCTGTTTCTCCTGATCTACATTGTGACCATGGCCGGGAACCTCCTCATCATCGTGCTGGTTGTGGCTGATCACCACCTGCACACCCCTATGTACTTCTTCCTGGGGAACTTGTCCTGTCTGGAGACCTGCTACAGCTCTGCCATCCTGCCTAAGATGCTTTCAGGTCTCCTTAACAATAACAAAACCATTTCTTTCTTTGGCTGCTTACTTCAGTATTACACCTTTGGGAGCTTACTCTGTACTGAGTGCATCCTCTTGTCAGTCATGTCCTATGACCGGTACTTAGCAATATGTGACCCCCTGCATTATGCAAATGCAATGAACCCCAGGATCTGTGCTAAACTAGCTTCAAGTTCTTGGATAACCAGCCTCCTGGTCCTCACCATAACAGTAAGCCTAATGTCAACATTGACTTTCTGTGGCCTCAGTGAATTTGACCATTTCTTCTGTGATTTGGCACTCCTACTAAAACTCTCCTGTACAGACACCCACCTGGTCCGAGTGGCAATTTTTGCCTTTAGTTCCTTAGTGACATTTCCCCCATTTCTACTGACTATTGTATCATATGCTTGTATCATTGCCACCATCTTGAGAATCCCATCTACCACTGGGAGGCAAAAGACATTTTCCACCTGCTCCTCCCACCTCATTGTGGTAACCGTCTTCTTTGGGACCCTAATCGCTGTGTATCTCACACCAACAGTGGATACTTGGAAAGCCCTGAACAAAGTGCTGTCTGTCTTCTACACTGTCCTCACACCAATGGTCAACCCTCTCATCTACAGCCTGAGAAACAGGGAGGTAATGAAGGCACTGGGCAGGGCTCTTAGTCAATGGAGAATTTTCAGAAGAACTCAGGATGCTGCAGGTGCGTTTCAGAGACTTTCATGCTGAGAAATAATGATCACTTTAGGACTCACTGATGAAGATAATAAAAAGGTAGTTTCTTTCATCATTTATAACAATTCCTCACTTTCCTTTCTATTAATTAAAAGGCATGAAAAGGTAAGGGTAAAACTTACTGCAGTGCCAACTGGTTTGTATAATTAATAATATTGATGTTATAACAGTGCCCATGAATTACAACTGGGATGGGGGCTCTTTTACACTAAGCAGCAAGCACATCCAGTGAGACATGGTCACACTTTTCTCAAAGATCTTGGCATCAACATGGACAAGACAATCGGTGCTTTATCATCAGAGGAACCAGAACCAAGGTATGCAGTGCCCTATCAGTTGAATTTCCCTCCCTCCCTTTGTATTATTCCCTTCTCATAGCTGAAGCTCACTGACCGTTCCCTCATGGATACCTTTCTTTCAAAATGCAGATTAAAGAATTCAAGTGGGAAGGGTCAACTTTGTGATATTCTTGCAGATGTTTTTCTAAGCAACATGGAGAGTGTCAAAACAAAGGGCACGTCACTCCAAATGCCTTTTTTTGATGAAATGTGCCATTATTTGAAGAAAACAATATCCTAGAAAATAATTGCCCCAAATCTTCTCTATTGAAAATTTCCTCGCATGGGAAATCCCACAGGGTCTGTCCTTGACATTCCTCCCTGCCTCAGGGAATGCATAGGCCTGAATACAGAGCTTGGTTCCCCTAAGCAGAGCATGGGGAGTGTTTGCTGCTTGAAAGTAGTGCCCACAATAACAAGTATGCTGTGCCTTCCTCTGTAGCCCCTGTCTCTGGGCTTCACTTGCACCCCACAGTTGTTCTTCTCTGTCAATCCCCTTTTTGTGGGCTCCCCCCAGCCTCACAGTAGGTCTTCAGTGCTGAGACCCTTGCTCTGGGCTCACCCAGACCCACAGCCTGCGTTCCTATGAACCTCCTGCCGCCCCTTAGTTTCTACCAAACCTCCAGGCATCTTTAAGTGCTACGTTTGGGAGCTGCAGCCATGCTGCTGAGGCAATGTCCTCTCAACAGACTCCAGATCTTACTGATAGGCTTCTCTCAGGGACTGGGCTTATACCTGCTCAAAGCCGAGCCCTTCTTCTGGGGCAGATGACTCCCTCCCAAGTCAGGTGAGTCCTTCTACCTGGCATAGCCTCACCTGCTGGCTCCCTGGGTCACTGACTCCCCATTTAGCCCCAGCCAACAACTGCCAGCATCTCCACAGGCTGCCTGGCCTCTTACAGTGGCTGGCAGCCCAAGACCCCTGCCAGTGTGGAACAGTGCAGCACCCGGCTCCTGTGTCTCAGGATGTGGGGGCAAGGGTGCTCAATGATGTATGGGTGCTAAATCTCCTCCTCCGCTTAAAGGGATTCACACCCACATCTCCCACACACTAAGTGAGTGCTCTAATGAATATACTGTCATATAAAGGGAAGCAGCACTCCCTTCTCCGCCCCAACTTCTGATGTGTTTTAAAAGAAATAATCTCTCTACTTAATTCATAGACTTCGTAGACATTAGGGGCTGAAAGGGACCTTGCGATATCATTGAGTCCAGGACCCCTGCCACAATCAGGAAGTCTGCCGGGGTCAAATGATCCCAGCAAGTTAAACATCCAATCGCCTTTTGGATGAGTCCAAAGTAGGTGATTGCACCACCTCTGGGGGGAGTCTTCTATTTCTAGCTATGATTTATATGAAAAGAGTAATCCCTGCTTGCATTGTGCCTTAGTGTCCCCCTTCAGGCCTGTGGGTGGATCCCAAGTAGGGCGTGCTCCTTCCGGGTAACCCTAAATCAGGTGTCTAAGATCCAGAGGGGGACATTTTGAGACAACCCCCATTCTCAGGGTTTCCTAGTGGCTAGCTCTAGTCCTCTGTATGCTCTGTGTACTTGCTGTTTGTGATTCAGGTTGGGGTGCCTGATTCTCCATGACCTCCACAGGTAGCTTTGCCACCTAAGAGGGTTCTGGCTTCCATCTTGAGTGCCAGACACCTACACACTAGACTTTGCAGTCCTCAACACTGTGGTGCCAGAGTCCATCTTCTGTCTACCCTGTACCTTCATCAGTTCCCTCCTGAAAATCCCATTCCTTAACAGCAGTGACAGATTGCTGTATGTCTAATGTGGGGTGTGGCAGGGCACTGTGTGTACCTGCCGCTTTTAGAGTTTGGAGCCAGCAGCAGGACAGCCCACAGGTGTGTGTGAGAGTGATGAGGTGGTCATATGATGGCAAGAGGGCCCTGGGATTGGAGGACGGGGCTGAGCAGCATTCATTTTAGATCCGGGCCCTCAGGGCTGAGCCAGCAGTCTGCTGCTGGCAGCCAAAAGAATAACACCTGCCTGGAGCTGCTGCTCACAACACCATGGAACATGCTTGGAGGTATATGGGCAGGGGCTTTGGAGGAGGCCCCAGGTCCTGGGTATAACCAAAAGCTGCACCCTGCTGAAGCAGGATGGTCTGGTGGGGCTACCCATGTCAGGTTCAGCCCAAGAAACGCCAAGCCAGTCACTTCCCCAGTGAAAGGTGGATAAGGGCATCTTCGAGACACAGGAGTTGGGTAGATATGGGTAGGAAGAGCCCAGAACAGAGTTGCTATGCGCAGGGAGCCTGAGATGAGTTAGGACGGGTGGGCAGCCCAGGGTTGAGTAGAGACTGAGAGGGCAGAGGCTCAAATGATAGAGAACTCCAGCGAGGGGGCAGCAGAGCTGTGAGGAAGAGAAGGCAAGCCTGAGTTCAACCTGTCTGGATGGACCCTCAAACTGGTCAGTGCTGGGATCGGGACCCAGGGGATCAAAATGGCCAGGGGCCCGCCGTGAGAGACACCCAGATCCAGGGGCATGCAGTCCAACTAGCTTGTGGAGGCAGGGCCAGAGCCTGCATGACCAAAAATCCCAGAGAGGGGACCCCAGCTGAGATGGTGAAGGGCACAGGATAGCTTGGCTGCCTGGGATGCCGTCTGCAAGGCATGTGACATGGTAAGGGAAAGTCAGAGCTGTGTGTAATGCCCTTGGCATCAGGGCAAGTAAATGGGCAGCCTGACTGACATCTTAATTATTACCATCAAAGCCTGGAAGGAAGGGAAGGCAGGCAGTTAGCCCAGAAACAAGCAGACAGGCCAATGACTCACCAGCCCCAGGAAGCCCCCCTGTTACATGAGGATATAGATACATATACATATACACACATGTATGTATGTGTTTTCCTCAGAGATGTTCAGCTGGGATGAGCAGAGATATATCCAAATGCAGGCAACATGTGAGTGGGAAAGGGTAGGGATAATAGGAAGAGGGAAAGAAAGAGGGCGAGTCAGGGGCAGATTGTGAAAGCGGATGAGTACAAGGGAATTGAAGATGGGAGTAACTGTACAATGGAGGCATCAGAGCTAGGAGAAGGAAACTTGCATACAACTTTGGTGAACAAGAAGTGTGTGCTGCTGACCACCCAGGTGAGACAGCTGCTCATGAACACACAGGGGTCCCGTGCTGGCATTTTGATTTTCATGAGGGAAAAATTGGTGTGGTAAGATGCTCTAAAGAATATAAGATGCTCACTCAGGACCAGATAAACATGGGCCAGGGACTTCTGTCAGGGTCTGGCTTGAGCTAGAATCCTTCTGAGCAATGGGGAGCTGCCAGGTGCCCAATGCCACACGATACCTAATATGTCCTTCCCTAATCTCTGGCCACTCTCCAAACCCATCTAGCCTTCTGTTCGTAGTCACAGCCTGCTCCATAGTCTGGTGTCCTGCCATACTGAGCTGCTCTGTGCGTTCCTTGCTATATTCATTTTTATTGCCAGCTTGGGTGCACTGAGACTAAATACCTGAGATAAACCCTGAAGAATAGGAGGATTAAACCCCTAGATGACAAAGTAAGGGCACTGGTCAAATCCGCAGTGTGCAGACTGAAGTGTTACATGAAGATGTTCCTAGCATTGGGCAGAAATTGCACGTGCTTTCTTCCACAGTTTTGACCCTTCATGATGGTGAAAACTCCTGATATCCCAGCAGTGTCCCATTATAAGCTAATGTTGGCTTGTGCCTTTTAGGCAGTTATCTAGCCACCTTATTATAAGTTTATCAAACCTATGTTTCTCCGATAT